ACCGGGCTGGGGGAGAGGGCCCGGCCAGAGTTTTCTGTCTCGCCGGGCGCAGCTGGAAGAGCCGCGCGGAGCGGCACCAGGGGAGCCGCGTCAGCATCTCGCCTGCCCTTCACGGCTGCTTGGGAATGGCGGGACTGTGACCTTGCAGCGGGACTCACGGGGCCCCGGAGGGACAGCGGCGACCGGAGGAAAAGAGTAGCCCAGCAGAGCGAAGGCAGCGTGGGGTGCGGACAGGGAGGGCATCGGGGGAGCAGCAAACTCAGAAATCAGTGGTTGTGAGGGGCGAGTGGCAGAACAGGGGGTGGCTCTGGGGACAGCAGCCACCCCTGGGCACCCCTGCCTGGTGCACACGCTGCAGCAAAGTGCATGCACGTGCTGTGGAGGGAGTCAGGCTGAGCTGCAGGCCTGGGGCTGAGAACTGACAGGCTCATCTCCTCGCAGCAGGCCAGGCCGGCCCCTGTCCCTGTCCCTGAGGCGCGAGGACAGCGCGGCCGTGTCCCCAGCGCGGGGCAGCCCCGCTCTGGCAGCCAGCCCCGTCCCTTACCTGCTTCTCCGTCATGGCGTAGATGTGCTGGCGGTCAGGGCTCAGCACCAGGTCTCGCAGGATGGAGCTGCCTTCGTGGGCCACGACGTTCTCGTACTGCAGCGCTTGGTGCTTCCTGTCAGCCGACAAGTCCACGAGGATCTGCACAGAGAGGAGAGGGGGTTAGAAGGGACTCCCAGCTGCAGGGACGCAGCCAAAGCAGCTCCCCGCTGCCCTGCACACATTTGTCCCCTCCATGCCCCCGTTGCCCTTGGTCGTGGGCACTGCTCCCACCCGTGCCCTGCTCTGTGTGCCCTGCTTTCCCCATGGCCACCCCCGTCCTCCTCTGCTCCTCTCTGGAGCCCCTTTGTGGAGCAGAGCAGCACAGAGGAGCCCTCAGCTCACAGTGCATCCGGGCTCGGCGCGGCCGTGGGGACAGCGGCTCGCGCGCACAGAGCAGCCCCGGCACGCAGCAGGGCTCGCGCCTCCCCGGCCACCAAAGGAAACGTTTGCTCTCCTAACGAGCCAAGTCAAGAGGGTTTCGAGGAAGCCGAGGGTCAACAGAGGTTCAGAAAGTGCCTTTGTTTCCTGAGCAGGAACGTGGCAAGCGCTCTAATCCCCCCGCGGCGCGCAGTTACGGCTAAGCCCTTCCTACCACATCGGCAGGCGCCGCGGGGCTGGGGACACCCCCATGGAGCAGCCAAACTCAGCAGCGTTTGCCCCAGGCCGAGCTGCCCGCCAAGGCGGTCACGAGCAGAGCCCCTGGCCTTGGCGCAGCCCCAGGGAAGAGCCCAGGGCAGCGGCCCCGGACGGAGCACCCGGCTCCTTCCAGCCTTCCCCAACCCCTCTCCGCAGCACCCGGTTCCCCTCCTGCACCAAATCGACGCCGGCATTTGCATAGTTCCCAATCAGGAGGATACGGGGCTGGGAAAGCAGGATCCCGGTGTGCAGCTGATTAGCATGGAAATGTATGCGGCTCACAAACAAACCGGGGCCCGTTTAATTAGAGCGGCGCCTTTGATTCACCGCCAGCCTCCTGCATGCACCAGCCCCGGATTATTTTTAGGCCGTTTTACAAAACAAATGTATTTAATTAAGAAAGAGACCCCTGAGCAGCCAGAGAGCGGCGAGCCCTTGGCAGCAGCGAGCAAAGGGGCCGCCCTCTCCCCACGGGGACCGGAATGCAGGACCAGGAACAACTCCTTGGAGCCCCCGGGCACAGGGGACGTTACTGCAGCCTGCAGTAACTGGTGTCACATACGCGCTGGCCCCAGCCCTGTCCCCGCTGCAGCACCGGCCCTCCCAGCGCCGCGGTGCCGGTACCGGCTCCCTCCCTCGCTCTGGCAACGTGACAAACGCACCTTTCCAACCCTTTTATGGGCCATAGCTGCGGCGCGGGAGGATCAATATAGCTTTACCCTGGTTTTAAAATAGATCTATGGGTGGATGTCGCGCTTGGCAGTAATTTTTAACTAGCGGGGTAATTTCCCCATTACATTATTGCACTGCGCAGTGCTGGGAAAGAGAAAGAGATGTATTAAAAAAACAACAGCCTTCCAGTTAATTTGAGGCTCCAGGAAGAACCTAAAAATAACCAGTGTGGTCAGAGGGGGCTGGGGCCAAGCTCGGAGCACCAGGGTGTGCTCAGGGGGCAAAGGGCTGCCCCAGATGTGCAGTCACTGCAGCCCTCCTCTCCAGCATCTGGTGCCTCTTCTCCCCAAAAAGACACTGTAGAGACAGCAAGTACATAGCAGCTGGGGTGCAGGAAAATGCAATTTGGAAGATCTGACACCTGGAAGACCTGAAAATTAAGTTGCTTCTTGATTGTTCAACGGGCAGGACAAGGAAAGCGCTTTGGAGGCCAACGAGTTTGCTCGTGCTTGACCAACCTGCCCCAGCTGTTCCCTCCTCCGAGACAACCCCGTCGAGCTCCTCGCGCCGCGGTGCTGTGGGGCCCGGTGCGATCCCTGCAACCCAACACTTCCCCAGGGGATCAGCCCGACGGGGACCTGCTGTCCCAGGTGGCACAAACGGGAGGGCTGCTGGGGACCGTGACACGGTGGATTCCTCCAAGCCCTCCACCCCGTGCAGAACACGGCACCGAAGGGATGCGCTTCCCTCCAGCCTCTCCCCACAGAGCAGCTTTCTGCCTGCCAGGGACGGCGGCATCGAGGGGAAGGGGGAGAGGATGTGGTTTAATCAGAGCAACCCCCTCGGAAACGTGTTTCTTCCTGCCCACCCCCCCTTCCCTTCCCACCCAGGGGAAGAGCCGTTTACCAAAAAAAAAAAAAAAAGAAAGAAAGAAAAAAATCTATTAACCTTTCTCCTCATCCTGACGCTGATATAATTACCCAATACTAATAATTACTCGCACTAATTTCTCGCTCAGGATTCCTGCCCTCGTTCTGCCTGCCTCGCGGGTCGAGGCGGCTGCAGCGGCAGCTCCCGCGCGCTCCCTCCCCAGGGGATGCAGGGAGCAGCAACAACGGGAGCCATCCCCTCCATCACCCCTTTCCTGGGAATTTGACCCCTTCCCGGGGGGTTATTGACACCCGTGCGGTTCCGTTTGGGTCACCTCCTTATCCCGGCAGCCCTTTCCTTCTTCCAGGCCAGGCCACGGGCAGCGCCTCCTCCTCGGCTGTCTCAGCTCTCCCTGCTCCGCACCAGCCCTGGCAGGCCGGGTGCCTAAGGAAGGCTGGGATTTTTCCAGCCCGCTTGCCAATGCGGAGCAGCGGCCTGAAGAAACCAGACGAGCACCCCTTCTTGCCACAGAAATTGCGCTGCTCTCCCGTCATGCGAACGGAGGAGACTAGAGGCAAGGAATTGCAAGCTAGTGGCTTGAGGGAATCCTCTCAAGACGAAGTCGAAGGCTGTTTTGCAAGAAACACACATCAGCGCGTAGTAAACAGCCGCACGCAGCGCAGCATGGCCAGGCAGGGACAAATTCCTCCATTTTCCCCCAGGTTTTCCAGGCAGGGAAAGGAGGCCCAGAGAGGGGTCATGCCACCAGGCGACAGAAATGCTCCCAGGACCACGTCCTAACCCGGCGCAAGCGGTGCCTTGTCTGCAACGTTCCCTGCACACGGAGGGGCCAAAGCTGAAAACAGGGCCATGCTGGCATCCCAGCACCAGGTCCTGGTGTATTCTCCAGATCCATGCATCAGCTCCCAGCTCTTCCCCTCACACCAGCCCCATAGGAACCAGGGTCTTGCACTTCTGAGACTGGAAGGGGCAGCAGGAGCACAACCAAGAACTGCAGCGAGCGCAGGTGGCTCCTGCAGGCAGGGAGCTCCTTGCAGGGAGACAAATCCACAACGTGGATCTGCTAAGGCAGCCACTTCGCTCCTGGCAAAGCTGCGGACTGTAAGCAGTGCTGGAAGGGAGAGGGAAACGGGTATCCCAGGACTCTGATAGCATTTGCAGCTGGAGTTGCTCTAGGTGAGCAGATCTCTCCTCGCGCGGTGCACACGCAACACACGGGAGGAAACGCGGAGTGGAGCGCTCCGGGGGGGATTATGCTCACGGCAATGACAGGAGAAGCAGGGAAAGGCAGCGGGATATGGGAGGAGAGGGCCTAGGGGACCGATACGCCCTGGTGTCACGCTACAGCAGTCCTGCACATCCTACGTTGGCTCTTCGGTTACAGCCCATTTATACTTCTCCTGGACAGAGCAGCACGTAAATGACGAGGCGGCCGGGCAGGAAAGATCTCCCGGCAGCCAGTCCTTCCACACGGATCCGCAGCTCCCCGGCCTCTCGCTTTGGATGCACGTCCAGGTGACAGCGTGAGCGACCACACGGGGCCGGTGACACACGGCCCAGGGGGACGGTGACGGGGGGAGATGTCCCGGGGAGCCACGAGCTGCTCTCAGCCACACGGCAGGCTGGGACACCAGGCATGTCCCCAGGTCAAGGCTTCCCTGCAGGAATGTGAGGGCCATGCCAAGGTGCAACACGGGCACAGCTGAGGTCTGAGGAACCAAGAAGGAGACGCCTGGCAAGAGAGACCCTTGCCCACACTGCGGATGTCCCCAGGACAGGCAGCTGTAACTGCACCAGGTGACACACGCCTGAGCACCACTGCAAAAACATTCAGGTGTAGCATGGCCAAAAAGAGTCTATGAGTTTTGCAAAGGTTTCCCAAAACATCAGGACAAGGTACCAGAGCGTCACAGAGCTGCCTGACAGGAGCAGTCACTGCCATTCCTGCGGATGCTCCTTTCCTAGCTGGGAAGGAGAGTTTTCCACCCCGCGCAGCTACTGCTGCTTTGGAGAACAACGAAAATCACCTCCCACTGCTTGGAGCTGCAAAGCCACAGCAGGTCCATGACACAGAGCAGCTCGGCCACCTCCTGCCCGGAGCCACGCGCCCGCCCGCAAGGCCCGCCCGGCCTTTACAAGGGATGGTGCTGGAGCACCCAAAGTTTCCGCTAGGATCTGGGCACCCCTCTGTGCACGCGGAGAACAGGTTGTCCCCGGAGGACCTCACAGCTCGACACGGGACGAGACACCATCACAAACGGAGCAGACCAGCCGAGGCTGGAGGACAGAGGACGAGAATCAGGTCGCTGCTCTGCACCCACAGCCGAAAATGCGCTCGTGGGAAGCAGAAAGGCTCATCGGAGGTGTTTGAAAGGCAAAATTCACTTCACTGCCCTTAGCTTTCTCACCTGTTTCTAGACACTTCTGTTCCTCCAAGCCCACGCGACTTGCTCCCCAGCCCACAGGACTCCAAAAGACTTGAAATTAAAATCCAAGGGGAAATGAAAGCCTCGAGGGGGCAGAGAAAACCTCCCACAGCGAGAGCGCTCCCCCCGGCATCGCGGTGCATCCGCGCCCTCGGCAAGACCCTTCGGGCCCTGCCGTCCCGAGATGCCGGGGGCAGCCGAGGGGAGGCCGAGCGGCTGCAAACGCTTCCAAAGCATCCCCGGATCGAGCGTGGTCCGGGCAGGAGCCGCAAGGGCTGCTCCGGGCTCATCCAATGCTCCCACCCAGGCGTGACTCCCAGAGCCTCCCCAGCCGCAGGACGACACCGCTCCGTCGGGAGCCTCCCCTCCGCAGGGCTCCTCCAGCCCCGGGATCCCGGCCCTCATCCCCGGTGCCGGCAGAGCCGCAGACCCTCCTCTTGGCAGCAGGAGCGTGCGGGGAGGCTTTGTGCTCTT